TAAACCTCTTTTAAACAGACATAGAACACCAGTCGTGAAGGGCGTGGCCTCTGGCGTGAGCTCCCCATCCGTGGTTGTCTGTGGAGTCTGTCTGCTCTGTCGTGTCTCTGCTGCCTCGATGTGCCACCAGAGGGGGGGGGATGTGGCCACTGCCCGGAGGCCCTGCAGATTGGATGGAGGGGGGCCACCCCGTGGCGGGCTCCGGGGGCGGCCATACGGCTAGCTGAGCTCATCTTGTGCAGTGCAGTCGTTCTATTGTACAGGAAAAATTTCTATATTTGCAATGTTTGCTGTAAAACAAGAAAGAAAAAAAGACTATGTCTATTAAAAAAAATCTGCAAAGGAAAACCTCTGAAAAGTGTCTGCTTGGTTTCTCTGTGGTGGGCGCGGGTGGGGGCAGTCCCCTGGGGGGGGGCTGCCTGTGGGTGACCAGGGTGGGGGGTGGTTTGATCTGTGTGGGCCTTGGGGTGGGGCTGTGATTTGCTGCTGGGACCATGAGGGGAAGTGGGCAGCCTGCAGGGGGTCAGAGAATGTTCTGGGCTCTGAGATGGAGACCTCGTGAGAGAGAGTGGACAGAGGGGCTGATGTAAGTGAAGCGGTCTGGGGGCGTGGACAGGCATGAGTGGCCGTGAGCTTGGGGGGCTTCAGGGACTCCCTCCTGGAGGGAAAGAATCCCTAAAGCCCCATGTCTCCCGCCCTAGTCTGCTGCTGGGCCCTGAAGACCCCCTTCCCGCTTTGCGGAGCCCCCACGCTGGGTGGGAGGTTTGAGCACCTGCCAGTCAGCTCCAGGTCACAGAAACTCCAGGGAAGATTTGAATCCTGGCGTCTCTCTGCTGCTATACCCCAAGAGCTTCTAGCTGCTGAGACCCCAACCCTCTCTGGTCCTGCTCTCGGGGTGTCCCAGGCCCTCGACCTCACCCACTTGCAGTAGGCCACCCCAGGGACCTTCTGAAAGCAGGGAGCAGGTTCTCAGGGAAGGGTCGTGTCTCCCGAGCCCTCTCTCACACTGGGTCTCTGAGGCCGGGCAGGCTCCACTCTAGACTTGGCTATGGGGCCCTTCCTCTCACGAGGTCCACTGACCCCAGCCCTCCTCCCTGGTCTAGCAGACCCATCCATGCCTGCACTTCTGGCAGGGACCCTGTTGAGGAGGGAGGGGCTGGGGCTGGGCATCCTGGAGGGTACTGGGGCTGGAGCAGGGGCAGGATTTGAGGGGTCGCCGAGCAGGTGGGCAGGGCAGGGCTGGTCAGTAGCCTCTGCTTACCTCCCTCTGAAGGACACTCACCCTATTCTGTCCGTGATGCCAGCTCTGGGGCTGGAGAATGCCAGGGCTCTCCCAGGGGCCTGGCTCAGATGCCTGGGTCCCCCAAGAGCTGCTGCCAGGGGCACCTTCAGGGTCCTATAGATCTGAGTCTGCTCACAGAGCACACCCCCTCATCCGAGCCCCTCCCATTTGGGCCACTTCCTGTATGGGCCCGTGGCCTTCCCACCCCAGCCCCTCACCCTCCATCACAGGTCACTGGAGCCAAAGGCCTAGGAGTGAGGGGGTGGGTGGGTGAGGAAGGCATCCATGGCGAGGGGAGGGACCACCTTGCTCAAGGTCACATGGTGACTCAGTGCTGTCCTGTCACTGAGCCCCTCCCCAACATGCCAATCACAGTGGTGATTGATTGACCGGGAGCTGGAGAGGGCAGTGGAGATTCGCGGAGAGGGGGAGTCCTGCCTGGCCAAGGGTGAGATGGACAGGTCAGCACCAGGGCAGCCTCAGGGGAGTGGCCACAGTGCAGGGCATCTGGGGAACGCCCAGAAGCTGAGCCCCACTGTGCCCCATCCTATGTGGTCCTGACGACCATGCCATGCAAGAGCCCACGGCTGTGGCCACTGTGGGAGTCCATCTCCTGGAGGGCCGTCCTCTGCGCTGCCCCTGCACTGTATCCAGGGACTGGTCCCCCTGACCACATGTCCCAGTGCGTGAGACCAACCCCCTTGCTTGAAGAAAGAACCGGTCTGGCTCTGAAGAAGTATGGCCGGACGGCTTCTGAAACAGGACCTCCCTGGCTCCTGTCCAGTTTCCTGGGAAGCTGACTTTTGTCTGAGTCCTGAGAGGCAGCTCTAAGCCCCCTGTCATCCAGTCCACTCTGGTGCTCAGCCAAGTCCCCCTGGGGAGCCAGGCGGCTTTACGTCTCACCCACGAGCTCCCGGATGGGTTCAAACTGTCAGCATTTCTGTAGCAGCCAAGTGCGTAATCCTGTGCCATCAGGCCTCCTTGCATTCCAGCGTGCAGGGCTGGGGGGTCCCAGCACACACTTTTGAGGGATGTGATTAGATCCATCACAGTGATAAGCTAGGGACACACATGACA